TATATAATTTGTTGTTATATTTTAAAATGAGATTTTTTCTTTCAACAATATAAATTTTTTTTAAAAAAGTACACAGTTGCTTCACAAAATTAAAACAGGTCAAATAACATAAATACCCTTCACCCCCTCAATGAAAAAAGTTACTAGGGTACAAGGGTGGCCTCCATATTATTATTATTATGAGAAAGACGAATCTGAATGGGTCATGCCAGCAAATCATGGGTGATCATGTCCTTGTTTGTATATGCAAATGCCAACACCATTTTTCAAAGCTCGACTTTGGACTAACTAATGCTGCTCTTTTTCTACTATTATTACTGGTATATACCATATGTATATAACTTGTTTATAATTTCTCAACAAATTAAATGGACTTTTGACGCCTGCGCCGTCAGCGCTCCCCCATGTTTCTTTGTCCAGGAAAGCGGTGCCCACCACCGCCGCGCTTCACCTACCATTAGTCCAAAACCATACGCTCCTTTTCCTCCCTGCTTTTTCCTCTTTTTTTTTTTTTTTTTGAATGATCCATCATCCATTTATTATGGTCCAAACTTGTATCATAAAGTGATTGGGCCATCTTGTTTATTATATTATAATATATGGTCTAACAACTTGACATGGGAATGCTCAAACTTAGGCCCATCTTCAATGGGCTTGATAGATCTGGGCCACATTGTTGTTATTCTGGATCTGGGCCCCGTTGTGTTGTTCTGGTTCTACAGCACATGGCGCACGCTGACGACGGGATGAACGCCGTGATGAGAAATCCCGCAATCAGCTCAACTTCAACATTCCTTCGATTTTCTTTGCGAAGATTCGGAAATTGAGACACCGGCGACTGGGTAGATTTGCAAGGCGGCGATGTCACTCTGAGTCTTCTGGAAGAGGGGGAATTGAAAGGCAGAATGGCTCTCAGAAGGCGGCAGCCGGGAATGAATTCCATGATTGCGGAGCCAATGCCAATCCCAATCCCGCCGGCAGACGTTGATGTCGACACCAGCTCCTCTTCTTCGTCGCTTGCTGCCAAAGCCATCAGAGCATCTTCCGCCGCCAACAAGGACTCCTCCCTCTCCTCCGCTTATGCCTCCCTCCATGCTTCTTCTGCTTCCCCTCTCTCCGACACATCTTCTCTCCTCAACACTCAGGTACTCCTTTAAAAATTAAAAAAAAAAAAATCTTCAAAATTAGTTTGTTTGGGTTCGTGTGCTTTAACATAGAAGCCTATTGTTCTCGATCAATTTTCATTTCCCCATTTTTGTGTCTGTTTAACTTTTCATAAGAGCTCTTAAGTCCCATGGACAACACTTTTTCATGCTTAAATGCTTAATTGGCTTATACCTGTTCATGAATCTAGGAGAGGGAGACCAAGCCTCATGGTGAGTACACCTCAGAGAAAAGTCAAAATGAATCCAAGCAAGGATTTTGGGGCTCTCTGGCTAGGAAAGCTAAAGCCTTTTTGGATGATGATGATAATGAACCCCAGCAGTTTGAATCAGGTGGAAGAGCTATTAAGCAACAGATGCCCGAAAGACCAGCCACAGACAGGGTGAGATTGAATTCAATTTTTTCATTTCATTTCAACAATTATATTATTATTATTGTTAGTATTAGTACCGGGAGTGGCATTAGTTAGTGATAGAGCATTGTTTTACATCTGAAGATCAAATTTTGTGATCCATTTCATTTTGGAAAATTTACTTCATATTGGAATTTTTTGGCCGGCAGCATCTTCTGAATAAAAAATGCCTTGCATTCCTTTGGTTGAGATTTTGAGTTTTGTGATTGAATACTTGTATTCTGGCCTCTTCCCTATTTGCAGTACCAAAATGCATATGAAGCACCTAAGAACCGTGGCAAAACAGACAGTGCTGCGTTACAGAAGGGCCTTGGTGCAATTACATCATCCCTAAACTACATTGGTAATGCTGTTGAGGTAGTTTCTATAGTATCCCCTTTTTTATCTCCTTTTCAATATTCTTAATAGCTATGAACATTCAAATGATCAAATTCCTTACTTCAACCATCAAAATATGGACTCTCTCTCTCTCTGGATGTGCACTCTACAGGCATCCTTATGTCATTTTTCACTCACAGAATTTATGCATCTCTCATAACTGTCTTACTTTTGCACCTCCACTGCTTCTTTTTCAGGAGGGTTTTACGATTGTAGAGAATCGAACGGCAGGCATCATTGAAGAGACACGCAAGCATATAAGGAAAAAACCTAGCGGTTCTTTGGCACATAATCAAGCGGCTAAACAGCTCCAAGTGCCACAGATGCAGACTGATCAAGAAATTCAATTGAAGGCATCTCGCGACGTAAGGTGGCAACCTTGTGTCAATGGTTCATATGGTGGAAGTATTTTGCTTTGTTGCTGGCCCTTAACTTCTGAACTCATGAATCTCTTTCAGCTAGAACCCACCCTGCAAATCTACTCTTATACACAGAATTTAACTATTATTTAAATACTAAAGCACCGTGCCTGGTATCAAATTTCAAATTTTTGCCTAATCTTCAAGACTTTAGTTCTCAGTATACCCAGTGAGTAGAAGGTCTTGAAACCTCTTCCTCTAAAACCATCCAAATGTTCAGATATAGTGGAAACACAAACAAAAGAGCAGGGATAACATGCATTACAATCAATGGGCTTCCTTTTTTATGTTCTTTTTCCTGGAAGAGGAGAATGTCTTTTGGGGTTGGAAAAATCAATTTTAGACATACTTTTTTTTATTTATAAAGGTTAGATTCATGATTTACCACTTAATTCTTGTAACAGGTCGCGATGGCTATGGCTGCTAAGGCAAAACTTCTTCTTAGGGAGTTGAAAACTGTCAAAGCTGATTTCGCTTTTGCCAAGGAGCGATGTGCTCAGCTGGAGGAAGAAAATAGAATTCTTCGTGAGAATCGTGAAAGGGGAGACAACCCAGAAGATGATGATATGGTATGCGTTTTTTGCCTTCTATGTTTGTACTTTTCTTCTTGGTTTCTTGGATAAAGTGGAAAAAATAGTGTTAATTGAGTGCAAAAAAAGAAGGCTGGAAGAAGTCAGTACTTGATTACAAACTTCAGGTTATAGAATGCTGATGGTTTTTGCATGAGAAGTTGAGGATCCCCAACTTTATTGCAACTTGGAGAGAACCTGATTTAATATGTCAAAAGGGTAGTAAGCCCCACAAAAGTTATGTTTGCTTGAAGCAGAAGTGAAGGGTATTACAAGACAATGACTTGTTGAGTTGTGAATCCAAGTTCTCTAGTATTTAGCCATCTTAGAGATAAGGATTGCCTTTCTTGCACTCCATTTAGCCAAAAGCCTGGTTGTTGTGCTGCAAGGCTGTGTAGGGTCATAAAGCCCCAAGTCTAGCATTCAAATGAATAATTAATCAAAATTTTGGGGGGTTTAAATTAAAGGGTTAAGCTGTCATCGGACATTCTGCAGTATATCTTATCTCACTGCCATTTCTATTAACTAGCTAGTATGGCCAACCACAATCTGATGATTGAAGTAATAATCTTTCTATGCATTAACCTTTCAAAATTTTGATGCCTATATTTCCCATTTCAGATAAGACTTCAACTCGAGACACTCTTGGCAGAGAAGGCACGATTAGCACATGAAAATTCCGTCTATGCACGCGAGAATCGCTTCTTAAGGGAGGTGGTGGAATATCACCAACTTACAATGCAGGATGTTGTGTACTTGGATGAGAGAACTGAAGAAGTCACTGAAGTTTATCCCGATTCATTGATCAACACAAATGCCATCACCGTCTCTGCCCATCCCATGACACAAGCTTCCAACCGACCAAGCAATGCCACCTCCAACCAGGCCCCGTGAAGCAATCGTGCCCTGAATTAGATGGCAGAGGATGCAGGACCCTCGCTTTGAAACTGTAACAACGTATATTTCTATTTATATTTATTTATCAGATGAAAATGTCAATCGTGTACGACTACTGTAAACACTTCTGCTTTGCGCAGTGATAAACCTGTGGAATCGCCCTGAATGAATCATACTTCACTTTAAGGATGTGTTTGGTAAACTTCCTGGAAACATCACCTTCTTGAATTTTGCAAAGATATTTTGGTATATATAATTTCTCACCATTTTTTTTATATGAGATGTACTTAATAATCTTTTTATTAATTTTTCATTTTTTTCTTAAGTTAATTTTTTATCAAATACAATAAAATTAATATTTCAATGAAATTTTAACAATATTTTATTATGAAATTTAATAATTTGTTTATATAATACCTTCTGGTTTTATACAATACTTTTTCGATTACATTTTTTATAAGAAATTTCTTGAGAATATTTGTTTTTAACTAAACACACACTGATATTTTATTTGAGTTCCAAATTCAT